GGTAGTGTATGGTGGTGAGGCACATACTAATATATACTTACTCTTCTAATCCTCCTTAACAACCCTATGAGTTAGATAGTACTACTGTCCCCATTTTAGGGATAGGACACTGAGGCACAGAGACTTTAAAGACCTTGCCCATTGTCACACAGCCAGTGAGTTGGGGAGGCAGGACTCAGATCCTGATGTGTATTATTATTTCTGTCTCCATAACAACCTGGATTTGTGTTAGGTTGAACCATAGAGAAATTGCTTTTATTTGGTCATGTTTGAACTACAAGGAAAGCCACCTCCCGTGATCCACTCTAGCAGCAGGGATCACCTCTTCTTTAAGGAACAGTTGGTTTGGTGTCCATCTTTGTAGCCAGAATAAGGGCTCCATGGGGCCTGAAACTCTGTCCATCTGTCTCCAGGAACTCCTTGGCTTATGGTTGGCCTTTGGTAAGTATCAGTTGAATGAACAGTAACAGCCAAAGAAACTGTGATTAGTTCTCCCAAACTCCCTCCCATGTATATGCCATTTCTGTCCCCCCCACCATATCCGTGTCATTTTTAGAGGAACCAGCGGATAACCACAAACCCTTCTGAGGGATGTAGCCTCAGCAGGGGTAACTGCGACACAAACAACTGTTTGACTTCAAGAGAACACTTTTAACTAATGAAGATGTTAATTAAAAACATGCCCCTGCTAGGATGACCTCTCAGTTCAGAAACTCAGAAAGGCATTGCATTTGTACTCCCCACCAGCATGCAGTGATCTTGGCTGGAATGTACGTAGTACTCAGAAGGCCATCTACTCAGATCCTGGTTTGAGCAGTAAACACATTTTTAAAAAACATCATGCAGCCTCTAAAAATAAGCGGTATTTCAAAACGAAAACCGGCACATAAGTAGTTGGCACATCTGGTAGACAGAAAAGCTGTATGGTTTGTTTTCAGGGAATGACAAGCCAAGGAACATTCAAACTTGGCCAGTTGAAAACTTTTCTTCTATCTGTGGTGACACCTGGTTTTTAAAAAAGTTGGCTTGAGCCTTGAAGCAGAGAGAATATTGGAAGCGTGTAGAGAATTAAATAGCAACATTTACTATCTTGTTTTGTGCAAAGAATTATAAGGAACTGTTTTCTTCTTCAGGAAAGAGAGTGGAACAAAAAGGCAGCGAGGGCATGAGCAATGTTAGTAAGAGTCCCGACAATAACATCTGACATCTGTTGAGTACCTAGTACATGGTAGAAGGTGTGCTCTAGAGTCCTTCATGTCCAATGAATATGAGATGCACAGTAATTTTAAGTGGCAATGTTATTTTTACTCCCACTTTACAGGTGGGAAGGCATACAGATGCTTCAGTAATTGCTGGAGTCACAGGACCAGCACGGGTGCAGGGGGGCGGCCCCAAGACAGGCCATCTCCAGGGCCCAGAGCCCAGACCCCAGAGCACAGCGTGGTTCCGAGCAGTCTGGTGGTGGCCGTTGCGTTTGACACTATGAAAACAACATTGGAGTTTGATGGTTGCATTTGGCACCACTGGGTCTTGGACAAGCTATTCTTTGCCTCCACTTGTGAGACAGATGATGCCATTTTCCAGAACATTCTCACAGCTGGGCCACAAACATTACTTGTTTCCCATAAACTTATTGTTCACCCTCGTGCTTCAAGGGTGCCATTTATGATATCTTTCAGAAGCTGTCATTCCTCTGTGGTTACAGGAGGTTCATGGTGGCCAGTGGATTTGGGATAGGAGGTGGAGGAGCCAAAGCGACGGGGATACTGGGAAAGGGAGGATCAGGGTCTCCGTATTCCAGAGTGGGAAGATCGTCAGAATGTGTGAATCCGGGCTAGAGAGTTACACAGGCAGCCTTGGCCAGCATACAGTTCTCGCCCAGGAAGGTAGGTTTGTAAGGATGTTCCCCATGGGGCTTCATCTTCAGTTCTGATCGAGTTCCAGGTACTGTGGGGGAGCATTAAGGGACTGGCTTAGTTGGAGTTTGTTTTTGAAAACCAGCGCCATTTTAGAAAAACAAACCAGGAGGGTTTCAGTGGAAATAATGTGTGAGTATTTAATATTCATGTACAACTGTCTTTTATTTTCATTCATTAAAATTTTTGTTCATTGAGGTATCATTGACATGTAACATTCTAATAGTTTCAGGTGTGCGACATAGTGATTCACTCTTTATAGGCACTGTGAAATGATCAGCACAGTGAGGCCACGGGCCACTGGTCTCCACACACAGTCACACACATTGTTTTCCTTCTCTTTCTCGTGATGAGGACTTTTCAGATTTACTTCCTTAATAACTTGCAGTATGCAATACTGTATTACTAACTACAGTCACTGTGCTGTCCATTACATGCCCAGGACTTACGTATTTTATAACTGGGAACTGTAGGTCCCCTTGACCGGCCCTCTCCCTGGAGCCACTAATCTGTTCTCTGTGTCCACATTCACTCATTCTGAACTTCATCGGCAGACTTGTGTGTGTACGTGGTACAGGCCCTGGGCTAGGTGCCGAGGAAGCAGAGCTGCCTCAGACAAGGTCTTTGTCTTCAAATGCGATAAAACATAAGAGGAGAACGTGGCAGGCATGTAAACGTGAGAGTTCCCTAACGGTGCTGAGGCAGATGTGTTATGAGAGATGGGGGCTTGGGGCATGGACAAAAGGAGGATGTGGTCACATCTGCCCAGCTGGCAGTGGGGGAGGGGCAGCCGAAGAGGAGGTGACCTTTGAGTCAAGAGTGTGAAGATGAAGAGGAGCTCAGTAGTTGGATAAGTTAGGGGAAGGGTGTTCCAGGCAGAGAGGAGAGCATGAACAAGATGAGGGTTAAGTGAAAAGTTTCAACAATCATACTTGTATTTAATGATTCTAAGGTGTGCATATTTCCACGTCAAAATATCTCTGAAATCTTGATACCATGCACTAGGTTCATCAGCCGTGCGTGTTCTTACCGGCACAGAAAAGAATACCAGGCCTTACAATATATGGCACCTCAGCTTCGAGGAACGAAAGTATCAGTGTGCTTTGTCATCAGGTGGCATTTCTTGGTTGTGCTGTTCCAGCTGTTAGCATGTATTTGTTTTAAAGGCAGATATAAGTACCTTTTTATTGGGAAGGAATCGGGCATTAAAGGACAGACGAGTAGATGATATTGAGTTTGACAAACTACCTGACATCTGATGTTGCTTTTCATAGTGTGGCTGGTAGTGACGGAACGTGGGGAGGCGATTCAAGTGTCTCACATACTGGACTAGACTCGAAGCCATCACATCACCTCTTTCCAAGGTAGAAAAGGGAGTTTGAAAGGCAAATGGCAGGTAGCTTGTTGGAACTTACAAAGTTACTAAATTTATGATCATTGTGTAAAAACGTGCCCACTACTTTTGGTGTCAAGATGGAGACCTGAAGTTACAGTGTTCTGTGAGTTATGAAAGCAGAGAGACTATCTATGATTGGTCTCTCAAGGCACAAGAAGATGCATCAGATTGAAGGGGCAGAGAGAGGGGTTGAAGGGCAGGTTCTGAAAAAAAAAAAAAAAAAGTGTCTGAAAAAAAAAATCGGAGAGAAATTTCTTTTGGAACTAATGATCTTGGCAAGTACCCAAGGAAGAAACTAAGCATCCAGTACCTAAACTTAAACACACAGGCACCATGAAAATACACCCTACTAGAATCCATTTCTGCGCTGTCATTGAATCCCTGTGTGGCCTTGGGCAAGTGAATTACCACTGGGATTTCCCAGAGGGCTGGACTAAAAAAGCAGGTTCCTGCCAGCTAAAAACTGCAGCTCTCTCAGCATTTTTGAGATGTGGTTTCATTGATGAGAGCATGGTGATTGCTCTAAGGTCTTGTTTATCCTTTAGTTCTGTGGGCTCTTGGAAGAGAGTGTTACAAAAGATGACAAAGTCATTTTTTTGGCTATTGATTTAATTTCTGGAAAAACAAAATAGGAACTTATGTCCCCTAGGGCTAAGGAAAGTTACTGTGATGATTTTCCACTTACTTTGATCCCAAATATATCAATGAGAAATATGGGGAATTTGATGAGAAAATTTTAGAGTCTAATTTGTTAAAATCTGACATCATATTTATTTTTGTTTGGAATGGGAACACAGTGTACAGTCACTGAGACTTGACCAGGTAGTTTGCAAAAAATGTTTGAGAAAGGACATCCATGTGAAAAGAATGTCTAGAATGATTCAACCAGTATTATTACTATTATTTTTTTATAAATGAGTCATGGCCGTGTTTGACTTTCTCCTCTATGCTTTTCACTTCTCCGTAATGACACAGATTTTTGTGGGTTTCTTTTTTTTTCTTTCTTCTTTGGGTATATACCACATTTTACTACATTTGAAGATTGTTACTAATGAAATGATGAATCTATGTTGAATTTGGTTACCATGCTGCTTTTAGAATAAGTGTTTTATTTATGGCTCTTTCATCCTGTTTGTTTTTTTTTAATTGGGTCTATGTCCAATGACAGTGTACTGGGATGAAGAGGAGATATCAAGATTGAAGACTGAAAAAACTCAGCCAGACTTTATTCCTTTAAAGAGACTTTTTGGAAGGCCAGAATTGGAAGGAAGTAAACCAGTTAAATAAGTGTTATTTGGCCATGTCAACTTTCCTTGGTGGGCAATTCAAGATATTAGCTATTCTAGAAGAAACTTCTAGATATAAGTAATCCCATCTACTTACTACCTTGACTCTTTAGGTAGGGAGATGATAAAATATGATTCTTCATAACTGGTACTTCTACATAGAAGGAGCAAAATGTAAGCACATTTTGTATGAATGGTGATTATCGAAGGGTTTTTATTGTAGCAATGGCTTTTTCATTGGAAATACAGAAAGCTTTGGGTATCACTAACATTAAAAATGAAGAAAAAGGTGATCCAAGGACTGTCTTGAAAGAGGAGTCCTGATAGAATTGGGCTCATGTGTGTATTTACTGATTTCTGATGTAAGGGACATGAAAGCTAACCTGATTCATTTGTTTTTAGGGGCTCTTGGCTTTGGGCCTCAGTGCAAGTCCATTGGAAAAGGCAGCTGCCACAATCTAGTGGTCACCAGCAGTCCCATGATGGTTCAGCGACTGGGACCCAGTTCACCTCCAGCAAGCCAGGTCTCTACAGCATGCCACCAGATCAGTCCTAGCTTACAGAGGGCAATGAATGCTGCCAGCCTGCATATACCTCCTTCAGATACCAGGTCTCATGTTACTTTTTTTTTCTCCCTTCCTGTGGTATAATCACACCCCACGTGTGTTTTCCCTTCCCTTCCTGAACACATGCATACACAACGCACACCACACACACGTACAGACACACACACACACACCTGCTCCAGCAACTCTTTCAATTTGAGATTTGTAGGGTAACGTGTATAAAAATAAAGTATGTATACTTAATTGGGAAGAATGGCTTCCTCCCAGCTGTCTTGTAGTGTGAGTGTAGTCAATGCCCGGTTTGAGACTTTTGGGACTTTGTGACAAAAGCCCAGTGTGTAAACGTGGCACTTTGGTGAGGCTGGAGAATTGTGATGGGCCACGTACATCTCTTACCTGCTCATTTTCTAGGGTAGGGGTTGCAGTGTCCCCAGGCTGCTTTACCATCTGTTTTGTCTGTCCATCTATCCACCTGGATATCTATTAAGTACCTACTGTCTGCACAATATAATAGTTGAAGTTTAGGGAGATGGTAGAAAAAGTAAAGAGAGAACTCATGAATTTCGAGACTTCATGATGTGTCTGGGAAGACACACTTTCATGCATGAGTTACATAGCATTTCAACATAATGTCTGATTAGGTGCCAGAATAAGGGGGTCCAATAAATGCTGTGTGTCATTCCGTATGGGAGAGAATTGAATGGGAAAGGGAAATCACCCTTTCAGACACATTTTTATAACTCTCAAGGTTGATATTATAGGGGACATAAAACCAAAACACTGTGCAATGAGTAAGGTCCATTTCCATGTTTGAAATGAATTATTTCATCTTACAAGTAGCCTTCTTGGGGAAAGAGTTTTTACCTCTTAGTCCTGCCTCTGCTTTAGTTATGCATTTGCAAAGGAATCGGACTCTATGGGCTTCTGCTTCCTCTTCTCGGAGGCTGGAATCTGCTGAGGTGTCTCACAGTTGTGGGGTCCCGCGTCTTCTCCCGACCTTTCTCCTCTTCCTCCTGTATCCTTTTCCTTCTTGTATCTCTGCCCTGTCCTCCCAACCACTACTTGAGACTCAGAAATCAGAAAGCATCCTGGATCCTTTTTTTTTTTTTTTTCAATGCCAGTTTTTTCATGAGATGGAAACTTGTTTTTCACCTAAGAATTTTTGTGATGGAAGCTGCTGCTGTCATTTTCCCATTGATGATTATGCCTTGAGGGACTACTCAGACTTGCTGAGTGTTGCATGTAAAATTAACTGTACTTGGGTGGTAGGTGTCATTGGAAAGCCTTCAGCTTCCTGTCTGTGGCAAGTCCAGCCCATGCCTTGAAGGCAGAGAGTCATAATTAACGGAGAAAGTGGCGGTAGGCAGGGCGTGCGCTGCCCCAGCCACGTGCCTTATGCAATTCCTTTCATGGGTCGGCCAGAGAAGGGTCATTATCTCAGTGTTTTCTGGCATATTTGATTCCTTAGCATAATTTTATATCCTTAAAGGACAGCATCTTAAAGATGCACTGACATGTGTTTTTGACTGTGTATTCTTTGAGTCCTCCTATGGAAATAATTCTTTGGCAGGATGAGCAAAGAAACAGGACTTGGGAGGTCGGATGGCTTGGTGAAGTATGGAAATTACCTTTAGCAATCTGGGAAGGTTGCATTTATTTGTGATCCTTAAATTGGTTTGTGTGTTCCATCAGGAGAAAGAAGGGTAGGAGGCAACAGTTCAGCTTAAGGGCATTTTGCTGTCTAAAGATAAAGAGAAGACAGAGAGAGGAATCATCTCTGTGTGTTTTCCACTGGAGACACGCCAGAGGAAGTGGCTTGGGAGGGGGCATGCGCTGTACGCTGTGAGTGATGGCTGTCCTCTAGAAAGCTGTAAGATTTATTGTTTTTTCCTGGTTATCTATGTACTTGTTATTCATTGTAGAAAATATGGAAAGTATGGAAGAGCACGCGGTAGTGGATGGTCGTCGCCCTGAACGCTACCATCCATAGGCAACCGGGTGACCGATTTGGATACATTCCCTTCCCGTTACACACAAATGCATTCACAATAAGCACAGGTATTCCTTTTCACCAAATTGACCTATAATTACTGACATCGTGTTATAATTACCACTTTTTTTTAGTTCATAAAAACACCTTCTTCTGTAGTGAAAACCTTCTTCAGTATAGTATAATGGCTTCTTCCTGCCCCAGATTCCATTTTATTTAAAAAAACCCTATAATTTTTATTTTAAAAATTTAATTTTAAAAATGGCATTTGGAGTTGTCCAGTTGTGTGGCTTTTGCTCTGTATTCCAAATTGCACTGTAGCAAAGATCTACCCACTGATACACTCACCAGTCGTCTGACAGTTCCTGTTTTCTTACTACATACTAGGAACTAGAATGATACCTTTTGGCAATTTGATGTACAAATTGTTACTTTATCTTAATTTGAGTTTTCTTAATTATTGATAATATTGAGTAGTCTCCATAGATTTACTGTTTGTATTTCTTCTTTTGACGTCCTTTGTCTCCTAAAGTGCTCACTTTGGAAGAAGCACTCTTCTGTAGCTTCACTGGGTCCTGTTTAATGCAGTGATTCACTGATGCTGTAGGTTTGCCCTTATTAGTTTCCCAGCCATTTCTGACTAGCCCCATTTGATGACACATGCAGACTATACCTTACCTTCTTGAAGATCCAGAAACCATTCTTGATTTAGGCATTGCCAAAACTCTGTAATACAGAGGCCATGGTATGTATGGACCCTCAAGTGACAAGTACTGATAGGATAACATCACACAGTGGTTTCACATACCATACAGTAGAAGTTGGGCAACGGAAGAGATTGGACGCCACTGGCACGGGTTTTGTAGGTTTGGCCATCCTGGTGCTTTCATATACATTGTGATTCAACCTCTTAGGATCTAATATTCATAAACCAGCTGCAGATATTACCTCTGTTTTATAGATGATGGACCAAGGCAAATGCTTTGCCTAGTGTCACTTATCTTGTCATTTACAAAGTGCAGCCATCGAGCTAATAATGTCATTCTGGATCTCAAAAGACATCACATTTTTCTCTCCTAAACCAGACATTCTTAGAGGTGATTTCTGGTGGTAGACTTTCTTAGGGTTTCCTTTTGGGTTGGAGTAGGCCTGCAAAGCTCAGAGGAGGCCAAGGGGGCTGAGAATGGCCTCTGGGCCCTCTGGAAGTTCTAATGCTTTACAAAGTCGTGCTGTCTTCAGATGCAGTGCTACCTCTGGGGGATTTGCCCCCGCACAGAGATGAGAACTTGCAGATAGCCTAGGACTAGTCTTTCCTGTGACATAGATAATACATATTCTCTTGAGGATCAGTTTGAGGAATTCCATGTGATCCATAAGTGAGTATTTCTTTTGAACTTGGCATTGAACCAAGCAATCAGGCTTGGTCATCATGTCCCTCATGGCGCCATGAGAGTCACTGAGATCTTGCCTCACCAGTCACCTTATCCTGTTTCCCGGACAGTGTAGGAATTTTTCATATTGGTTGTGTTTGGTTTGAGCTATATCTCTTTCCTTTGCTATAGATCCAAATTAACCAGTCACTAGAAATAACATCCTTGGGAGCAGATGAACATACGGAAATGGAGATAGTCTTGTCTGTTTGTCCGTCTCTTTCCCAGAGGCCTGGCATGTGCAGCAGCAGGGGCTGTAGGAGAGAGTCGCTGGGAACTTTTAAGTCATTCAGCACATTGTCACAGAGAGAGAGTAGAAAACATGGGTTCTAAGCACAGCTTGTGTGACTTCAGTCTGTTAAACAGGTGGAGCATTATGGATCACATTTGGGGTGTGATGCAGGGAGAACAACACAGGACCTATGGGATCTAGCGAGGTGACGGCCTATCCAGGGTGTGTGTGTGGGGGGGGGTGTCAGTGGGGGGAAGTCACAGAACCTCAGTTCTGTTCTCTGTAGAGGTTATTTTAAAAAATCGACTTTCCTCACCTCACTGTGTGTATCTCTGTGTCAAATGCGATCACGTGTATGGAGAATGCCTTGTAAGCTACAAATGATGGCTGTTTTTCATTATATTGATTATTCACCTTCACTTAATAAACAATTTTTGGAAACTTATTATATTTCTCATACTCTGGTGGGTACCATGGAAATAAAAACAATCCCTTCTGTTGAAGGGCTTTGAATTTCTCTCAGGAAGATCACACAGATGCCAGCAGTGCGCTGCATTTGAGGCACAGTACTGACAGTACACACCCGCTTTGGAAAGAGGACGCTTCTGAGACCTGGTGTATGTGGGGAAGGTTTCAGTGATTAGAACTTCGAAAGATGGAAAGTTGGGGGTCATAGCACACGAGGGAGATCGTGGCTGGGCAAAGGCCATTTGTTGGAAGTTATGGTCGTGTTAGATGTTTGAGAGTTCTCTCTTCACATTATTGCTGTCATGAAGAGAAGATAGGATTTGCTTTCTGAAAGTATGTGGTAACTGTCTTAGAAGGCAGATGTCTGAGGAGTTACGGGGACGTGTCAGTGTGGGGTTATGATCAGATTTAAATCAAGCCATAGTCAGATGTAATTGGGGAAAAATAAGAAATATCTCTCAACACTAGAACAGATGAACATGGTGCACTCTAGGCTGCCCTCAAACTAAATAATATAATTTCACATGCAGAGTATATGCAGGTGGGTAGAATACTTTCTGCCTGAAATTCACCGCTCAAAAATCTGAAATGCTCCAGTATGACAGTGGCCAGGCAAATGTACCGTTTGGGAACGTTCTATAAACCTTCTCAACCTCAGGGTGTAAAGCAAAGTCAGTTGTCTTTGCCTCATATATGACACGACTACTGATTTGGCTTGTGTCAGAAAGCAATTCCTAAATCTCCCTGGGGAAGGGACCAAAAGGCCCTTGACATCCAATCACCAGGAGCCTTCAGCTGAGCTCTGCAGGGACGGCTGCCTGCTGTGGGTGTGCTGGGAAAATAATTGGAAGTATCCACAGGGAATTAAAAAACAGATGGTTCAGAAACCACTTTGGGGCTTGCAAAACGACCTCAGCCCTAATATAAGAATGGGGACAGTGACAAATCTGTGTCAAGGGCAACTGGACGTAAATTCTTGCTGTGTTTGTCATTGGTAAACATTACTTCACTCGGTGGAAACATCAGATTGGTGACGGTGTTATCTGTCCCCTTATACTGTGCATTTGAGAGTTGAGATGTTTTCTGAAATCTTGTGCTTGTAGGAAACAGTGTTCCCGACTTCCATTTTGTGAGAGGGAGTAAGAGGAACAGATGGGACAAGAATGGTTGTCTTTTCCCTCCATTCCCTTGCAACAGGTTTCTGAATAACAGCTGGAGGGAGTGAATGAGTTCATTCCCGGGAAGATAGACATTGTGTTTAATATTTTGTTTTGGTTAATTAATTAATTTATTTTTTGGTTGGAAAAAAAGATCTCTGTAGAAAGCCAGTGCAGGTACATATGGGTAAACTGGGTTTTTCTGATCCACACCATGTCTGAGTTGGGAAATGGAGCGAATGTGATAGCTAGCCTTTTTGTGACAGATTTACATCCAAGGGATGTAGCTTTTCCTTTCAGTGATTTTTAAGGCAATGATGTCATAGTAAAGCAAGGTGAGTTTTAAAGTGTTCAGACTACGTCACAGGCCATTTTGATGTGCAGGTAAATCTTGGGTATGCAGGTAAATGTGGGACATGCTTTGTACAGGGTATGGAGAACAGGAGACAAATCACTGCAAAAGTGAACTCCTGACAGGGAAAGATCTCTTCTTGGTCCAGAGCTGCTCTGATTCAGTGCAAGAACACGAGGAAAACCCCAGACTAGCAAGTGTAGTTAAACCCTGCAATGCCCAAACATATTATGCCCCATATGCCTTGATCTCAAGCCGTCATTCTCTTCTGTATCATAGCTCTCTTTCCTATGTAGTTTTTCATTTCCTGGGGTGATTTGATGCTATGACTGAGTGCTGACTGAGTTACTATCTTTCAAAGAAATCTTTAGAATTCCTTATCATCAGTGAAATGAAGTTGTGAATTTATTATTGGATCCCCTAGATGACCCTTTGACTTGGAGGATATACTTTTTTTCAAATTAAGCATTAGTTTGTGTTTTACTTAACTGAATAGATTTTGCTCAAAGGCTGACGCTCTGTTTAGACTTGTAGCCCCTGCAATGCCTATTCGTGATACGTGTATACCATAAGCACTTACTAAATACTTGCTTATTCACTTTGCCATGACGGGCATCGATAATTACTCCCCGGTCTCTAATTCTTCCCCCTCAACATTAAAAAAAGATATTTAAAAATAAAGCAAGGACTATTTATTATCATTAAAGTATTAAGATTATTTATAACAATAGATCTTTTGTTTTATTATTCCAGTGAGCATTAGCCCTATTGTCCCTCTTGGTAAAATGTTATTTACCTGGAACTAAAAGCCTTGGGTTTTATCTTAGCCAAAGAATGTGTGTTTAGCCGAGAATGTAATTAGGGGAAATACTTAAGGGATTGTCAGTGCAGTGTTCTTTTAGCTCTTAAGCAATCCATATCCTGCTAAAATGTTTGTCTTTTTTTCTTTCTCCCCCTCCCTCTGGCTGCTGTTCCAGGTCCCTCATTTCTCGTGAGTCTTTAGCGTCCACGACTTTGAGTCTGACAGAAAGTCAGTCAGCCTTGAGTGTGAAGCAAGAGTGGTCTCATGGCTACAGGGCTCTCCCGTCGCTGTCCTCCAGCCACAGCTCCCAGAACGGCATTGATCTAGGGGACCTCATTAGCCTTCCTCCTGGGACAGCCATGTCCAGCAATAGCATCTCTAACTCATTGCCGTCCTACCTTTTCAGCATGGAAACCAGCCATTCTCCTTACCCTAGTCCCCGGCACTCATCGGCCAGGTCCCACTCAGCCCGCTCCAAGAAGAGAGCGCTGTCTTTGTCCCCACTGTCCGATGGCATTGGGATAGACTTCAATACCATCATCCGCACGTCGCCCACGTCATTGGTTGCCTACATCAACGGGTCGAGGGCCTCCCCGGCCAACATGTCCCCCCAGCCCGAGGTCTATGGACACTTCCTGGGGGTGCGTGGTAGCTGCATCCCCCAGCCGTGCTCGGTGCCAAGCAGCCAGAAGGGCGTGCGGGTGGCCAGCGGTGGCCTGGCTCTCCCGGCCTACGATGAGGACAGTGTGCTGGAGTATGAGCGCATGCAGCAGCTGGAGCACGGAGGCCTCCAGCCAGGGCTGGTCAACAACATGGTGGTGCAGCACGGCCTGCCCAACCCCGACAGCCAGCCAGGGGGCCTGCTGAAGACGGAGCGCCTGGATGATTTCCCGGGCGGCGCCCTGGATCTGCCCCATGAACCCCCTCTGCCTCCTCTGCCCCCACCTCCCCAGGGCCCGCCGCCCCCCTACCACTCTCACCCCCATCTGCACCACCAGGAGCTGGTAGCCCGTGGCCAGCCGCTGGCCCTTCCCCAGGCTGCCTTGGAGGAAGACGGGGAGATGGAGGACATTGGGGGCAAACACTGCTGTCGCTGGATCGATTGCAGAGCCTTGTACGACCAGCAGGAGGAACTGGTGCGGCACATCGAGAAGGTTCACATAGACCAGCGCAAAGGTGAAGACTTCACTTGCTTCTGGGCCGGCTGTCCTCGAAGGTACAAGCCGTTCAACGCCCGGTATAAACTGCTCATCCACATGCGGGTCCACTCCGGAGAGAAGCCCAACAAGTGCACGGTGAGTCTCCCGCTAACGTTCACAGGCTTCGGCGAGGTGCGTGGCATCTTCCAGACTTGGCCACGAATCAGGGGACATTTTCTTCCTTTATGGGATTTGGATACTAGGGATTCTAGGTATCCCTGAAATTTGGCTTCTTTTTAGCCCCAGGGTAGGAAAGAGTTCTTTAATTTTTGGCGGCAGGGTCCCGCTCCACTTCTGGATTCCCTTCTGCAAATGTACACGAGCCATACCGTCAGGGGAGGCTGATCTGCCACACTGTCCAGAATCTTGGAGAATCCACGTGTGCCAGGCGCCAGCTTGAAGTTGCTGAAAGGTGCAGGGCCGAGGGACACACTGCACTTGCAGCAAGTGTGAGCTTTTTTCCAAAGCAAATATTCAGGGATTTTTCCTTCCCTCCAATAACTGGGCAAGTATTGGGTTTGGAGGAGGGACAGTTCTGATATTTGGGAAGGAACTCACACTTAGCAACTTGGCCGGTAAAAATGTTGCTGCATACACCCACACGCTTGTACACCACACACTCTGGGGTTGTAAGACTAGTTAATGATTTATAGGCAGCATAAAAACACCCAGGGGATCCCACAGGGGCAGGATCTCACAGGATCTCACCGAATTTTAAGGAGAGAAAATTTGGTGGGAAAGTTTAAGGAGAATGAACCGAGAGGGGACTGTGCCTTGGGTGTTGAAGGAAGCGGGCAAGGTGTCCCTTTCTCCCCTGCCTCCCCTTTTCACAACATCGATCCTGGAACTTGCCTCTGTTTCTTGGCAAAATTTGCTATTTCTGAATAATAGGGCTGCTAAATGATTTTGCAATCATTTCACACCTAACAGAAACCCTCAGGGTTTACAAGTAGGACATCACCCTTGGGATCACAGGGCAGCTTTGCACAATCTCTGACAGCTCGCTTAGCTCTGGGAAGAAGATGAGCATGTGTTTTATATTACTTTAGATGGACAGGAACATTGCTTTCAGAGTTAAAATCTGAGAATTGTAGGTACTCCCTGGATATTGAATATGTTACAGATCACCGAATGTGTGAAACATATAAATCATTTTGCAAAGGGACTTAGTCAGGTGGTGGTCCCCCGGCCAGAGTCCCTTCTTACTCTAGTATGTCTTGACAAAGAATCTGGGCCATGTTTATGTTTGACTGTAGATCGGCCAAGTTGTCTGATTTATGTAAAAGCAGAACAAACAGGTTGATAGCTGTAATGTGGGTATTGGAAGCACTTTTTCACTATCCAGTAGGTATTTCTGAAAGACTTTTCAGAATTTCTGGTGGAACGAAATTGCATTTCTTGCCATTACCTTGTGCCCCATGTTGTGATTTTTCTTAAGGAAAAGCAGAAGCTGGTACATTGTGAGGATGCCGAGGATGCCAGGTTCTATGACTGAAGAGAATAATTACATTTCAGATGGCAAAACCTTCCTCTGTCAGTAAGGTTCTGCATTAAAACCGCCAGAAAGAGACAAGCAATAGAAGGCAATTCCATTTTGGAACACACCGGTGCATTGCAGGCAGGAAAGACGTTCAGTCTCTGAGGGAAAACAGTCCAACCTTTTAGTTCTGACTAATCCTGGCTGAAAATAGTTTGCTGGATTTGGCTTTACTGAAATAAACATAAAGGCCTGAATTATCCAAAACATATTTTTTGCATTGCAAAATTAATTTTCGTGCAATAGGATTTCCCCATTTTCCCACTGTTCCCAGACTTTGCAATGGCATATAACTTTATAAAGTTGACTTTTGCTAAAGTGCAGGAGGACTATTAAAAATAGAAATACTTCAGTGAAAGAATAAGCCGAGAGGTGATTATTTGCAAGGCTCTGCTTGGCTTTGCATTGCATTATCCAGGATGGGTATGGGAGGTGATTTCTTTCTTTCCTAGTCTGCCTCCTTCCCACTTCTGGATGGAACCTGTAAAATTCAGATTGCTGGATATAACAGCATATCAAATCTAGACCTGCAAGGCGTTAAGTGATACATGTTATAGTGCAAATGTATTTATACAAAACAGGGTTTCTTAGGAGCTGACTAATGCTGCAGTTCTAGTCTTGGGACTGTATGTTTTTCGCAGGAAGACACCCATTTTCATAAAAAGCCTACATAGTGGGAGCATTATGTCTTCTAAAACTGTTGCGTTGCCACATGGTGTCTGCTTGGTTTGTAGGGTTAGAGCTAAGAGGCGACGCGCGATTGTGCTGTGAGGGGTTAGCAGCCCCCACGTTGTAGTCCCCGGGAAGAAGACAGTGTACTTGACGTAGATGCCTATCTGAAAAGACGCACCTTCTGCCTTTTGCAAAACCGATCTTTACACTCTTGGAATCCAGACACAAAGCATTGCTAAAACGGAAATATTTCATCTCCTGCTGCTTTGAAATCTGATGGTAGTTGACGCAAAGCTCAGGATCACTGCCGAGTGAAATGCCCACGTTCATCTCTTGGAGACATGAAGTGATCTTTGGTTTCTGTGGCTGTGTCACATGCGGCAGAGGCTCAGGGCGTTCAGGTTATAGGACCCCAGACGCTTTTGTTTCATGTGGGTTTCATGCTGTTAATTTTCTGTGAGCCATCGTTAGAGTTAGCCTCCATTTTCACTCACTTAGCTTATTGGCCCAAGAAAGATGTGATGACCCAGTTGTGTTTGGTGACCATGACTACAGGCAGCACAATGTGCTTCTGGAAGTCCTGGTGGAAGAAGGGTGTGTGAGAGGGCCGCTCAGCGACAGCCTGCTTACGGTACAAGACTAGCGCTGTTCCGTCTCAGACCAGCGTCTGCTCCCTCAACGCGCTGTTCCGTCTCCTGCAGGGAGAGCGCCTTCTCATCATCTGTGCTGGTGATGCTTCGGCCTCACCCAGGACGCTGGGATTCGGATCGCTCAGGATTCTGGGTGTCAGAACTGGGGGAGGATTGCTAATTTATTATTTGGGTCACTTACTGGAAGAAGAGCATGGTTTCTATTCTCTTTCCCACCCAACAACCCCGCCCTTCTGTACATCTCATTCTTACTCTTCTGCAGAGAGCCAGACCAGCTGCTCTCTTTCCAGGCCTGGCCCTGATGACAGAGATATTCCCAGCCAGTGGCAAGGGCCTGGAGAAGTAAAGGCCTTGGCAGGCAGCCAGACAGACCTCAGTTAAGTCAGAAACTGGGATACGGCAGTATTCTGTTCAAAATACCTGTGCGCACTCACGGCCGTCTACGAACTAAAGCAATTTCGAGCTGCCGAATCGTTCTGTTTAGTCCTTCCTGAGCTTAGACCAACCCCAACACTGATGAGTCTCAGAATTAACCAAAACTTTTGAGTACAGCTATGCTAAATTCTATTACGTTTTTTTGAGATGATAAGGGTTCAAATACTCAGGTCAGAACGAGTCGTGGAACCTCAGATTTTGATTCTCAAACTCTGGTTTCGTGGTCCTAAAAGGGTAGCATAAAGTATAACCCCAAATTATTGCTACATACAAACCATCCCGAGCAGTATCCGTAGTAAATGTCCCAGTAGAGCGCACAAGGAGAATGTTTTTACCGTAGGTCTCTTTAGCCATCAAGTTGAAGAGTGTGTAATGCCTGGGTAGCATTCCCAGAAGGTGTGTTCTGCATGAGATCAGGCCCACTGTGTCTGCCAGTACTTCTCCTGAGAGAGCCTATCTGATGGGAGCAGAGTGAGCAGAGGGACAGGGTTCTATTGCCAGCATCAGAAACACGGATGGCTTGCCTTCGCGCACAATAGAAAGCAGTTGTGTTGGGAGGTTAGGGAGTGTTAATAAGGGAATTAGGGGGAATGCGGGTCACCACTTAAATTTTGCTTATTTTTCCTGGATGAATTTTATCCAATAGCAAAAAGGAATTTTGCAAGACTTTTACCCACCCACAGATTTTCACGAAAATGTCACTGACCAAAGACAGCTTTGAATTTTGTATGAATTGACTCATTTCTCCACAGGCATTTTGCCTGGCAAAATCCAGAGTATTTGCTTTGGCTAGAAGATTGGGCAGTTTGCTTTTTAAGTAACATTGGATTATGGAATACAAGAAAATAAATACAGAGCTGGGGCCATGTCCCCATTCCTCTTTTATGGCCTGATTTATGGGATCATGGGCCAGCGTTAACCATGTAAGACATTTCTTAAGGAAAAGTAAATTCATTGTAAACTCTGGAAGAAGTTTTTAAAATCACATCCTTCATTTTGTTGTTTTGATAAGACTTGGCATTGATGTGGTGACCACAATTATATGACCAGAAGAGACCTTAGGAAAATAATATCTAAGTATAACTATTAGTTACCACTTCACAACCTTCAAATTGGCAACAATTAATAAATTCTCATAATGTCAAGTATTGGTGAGGATATAGAGAGTGAGGAATGGTTTAACATTGCTGGTGAGGGTAAATTGGTGTAACCACTTCGGAAAACAATTTGGGAACAAGTTGAAAATGAGCGTATCTAACAAAACCCTGTCCATGTGTCTACACTAGGGAAATTCTTTTATATAGTAGTGGGGCCACATGTAAAAAGATGCTTATTGTATCTCTGTTTCTAAAAAAAATTTAAAAAAAAGTAAATAACTGCCCATAGATGAGGTAAATTTATAAACCATGGTTTATCCATAATGAAATATTATAAAGGAGATTAAAATTAATGAACTATAAATCTCTATCTCTATAGATGGACAGATGGGTAGATAAATATCAACGTGGCTACAACTCAGAAAACAACTGAAAAAACGAATGAAAAAATTAAATTCAAAAAGGATATATACAGTATAATACAATTTACATATATTCATACACACACACACTAAGCAATATTATATAGTTGTTACAGATACATAATTACTTGGTTAAACAGTAAACTGTGGGCAGGATAATTAGTAACCTTTGAAGAGTAGATGCTTATTAGAGAGGACAGAAGTAAGAAGAAATGGGAAGGTTATTTTGCCTAATCTTTTTTCCAAGAGTGAGAAAACTGAAACAAATATGGCAAAATATTAA